CCCCTCCCCCTTTTAAGTTACTAAGACCATGACCTTAGAAATGAAATGTTCTATCTGCTCTATCAAAATCGTAAGATCGTTCGGAGTCGTTATCAATATATTCAAAGAATTGCACTGAAAAAAGCTTGACATGTAGATTGAGTGAAACTCAAATTTTTTAATGTCCTATTTCTCAATACTAGATCTAGATCTAGATACTGAGCAGATAGAACTTTGGTAATTCTTGGGTAGCGTAATGTAAAGGTAAGAGCAATAATATTTTCATATGTCTGTCGTTACAGTGTTGACTGGCAGGTCCTAGATCGAACTGTAACTTTAACTTTTAACTCCAGCAGGAACACAAATACAGACGAATATGTCTAAGACAACCAACAGCTGTTGAGGAGAAAAGTGGCCGTCTTACACAGGTGAACATCTTACTAAGTCTTGACCAAATGGCATTGTAATGTAAAAAAAAAAACTGCAAAGGAAAAATTGGAAGTGGCTGTTTGTACAGGTGATTGTCTCCTACAGGTGGCCACAGAGCAGGTTCGGCGGTAATTTCTAAATGTAGATGTTTGCCCTCTATTCGGAAAGTCGACCCAGAGCGCACGACGCGGGGTCTCCACTCTCTGTTTTGGCCACAGTTTAGGACCTGCATTTCAACATGCTCGAAAGAAGTTTTTAATTTAACCCCTTCACTGCTAGGCCCGAGAATTGGGTGATAAGGCAAATCTTCGACAAAAAACGTATTCCAGCGTTCCATAAATCTTAATTTATAAAGGAAAAAAATAATTCATTGTCGGCTACTTTTTAGTTTGATCTTAGGTTTTAGGTAGATCTACCGTCATGGGTTGTTGGCGGGTGCTCTGGTGTGGATTGCTCCTTCTTTCCTATTAAACAACTATCGTCTTTAACTCTCTTCCTTTTTTATGTTTGTTACTCTCTTGTAACCCCTCTAATCTTCGGCACTTATATGACCTTATTGTGTTGCAAGTGTCGTGAAACTGTTACTAAGACTGAAAGATCTATCGTCGTTGTCCCCTCTCCACAGACGGCCCAAAATAACCGTCAACACTTTCAACCCCACAAAGTAAAGGGACAGTGAGCTGATCTCTCAGAGACGACCTTCGTGTTGACAAAACTTTGCCCTCCCCCTCCCCCTTGCCGACTCTCAAACTGCGTTTTTGTTTTTGTTGTTGTTGTTGTTGTAGTTGTTTTGTTTTTTATTTTTCCTCTCAGTCACTCGAACTTGCTTGGTGAAGTCAAGGAAACCTAATTACCTACCTTCAGTGATTTTGAAAAAACCCAGCAACCCCATCTTAATGTGTAGAAATAAGGCCAACAAAAATAATAGCAGACCAGATGCTTACATATTATTGAGCAGTTTGTCTTCTTTTAACGAATGCTTTTTTGGGTTTTGTC